AGTAGGGTGCTGGAGGCAGAAAGATGCAAGAGATTATTGCCACAATATTAAAAAAAAATCTCTCAGCCATTGTGTAATACATTGTGTAATACATGCAAAAATATGGAATGGTGTGGTGTGGCTTAAAGGTTTCATTGCAAGTTTCTTGAGATAATCTTCCTAAATCACCAGTGACTGAGTGTGGTGTGTGTGCGTGTGTGTGTGTGTACGTACACAAACACACACACACACACAAATTCAAAATGAGAGTCTTTTTAAAGAAGTTATAACTTAGAATCTGCTTCAAGGAGCTGATGCCCTTGTTGGCTACAAAGGACCAACTCATGGGTTCATAATAAATTCTAGTTTATTGGACAGGTTGTGAAGTTACCAATAAAATCATAAATGCAAACTTTGAGTTATGGGTGGTACTCATCACCTTAGCATGTGCACTCATTCAAACCCATGTAGTATAGTGTATAGTAGTTGCTGTGGTGATTGTGAGAGCGCTGCTGTCAGTATATCTATTTATCTGAGGCCCTGGAGTCTGCTGTTGATGGTCAGCTTCCTTCAAGACAATGTTTTCTCCAGAAGGGCGTTACCTGTTTGTCCTTCTGTCTCGGTAGGTCGGGTGCTGGATGAGAGAGTGCCACTGAGGGTCACACTTCACTGCCTTTTATCCCTTTCTGGCAGACTTGTGTGATCCCAGCATTATCTTGGCTATCCAATCCAGACGTTGCTGTCCCATGTGGGTCTTGAGTAGTACCTGATAGCTGGTAGTCACATGGGTCTTGCCTGCTGGTAGTACAGTTTTGGGAGTCAGTTTGTGATTTTGATTAATTAAGGGTGGTATTGTTTAGGGTTGCAGGAATAGTCAATAGGGTAGGTGCTCAGTTTCAGGAATCAGTTTTGTACCTTGATTAACTTAAGATGGAGTTCCTTTGGCTAGGCTATTGTCTACTGATGATCATCATTCACTCACATTCACACAAGGGACCGCCCAATATAACAGATTTTATCACTTTACAATTACAATTTCAATGCAGTTTTAACAATGGTCCAAGGCGTTACTTCATTCTACAGGAAGTACATTCCTTAAGACTTTAAAAGTATAAAATATAAAATACAAAATGCCATGGTAAAGATGAGACAGATGAAATATAAAAATGCACTGTGAGAAATATGTAAAATTACAATGTGAGGTAGCGAGGATCAAAGGTTACTGGGGACAGTAAGTGAATTAATAGCACCAGGATATATTTACAGTCTTTGCAGTGGATATTTTAGTTCTTCTGTTTTCTGTAGTGATACTGAGCTTAACTGATATGTAAATGTAGTTTCTAGATTTCTCCTACAGAAAACCACTTCAGCTTTCTGGCTTGCTCTGAGCCTTGCCACACCCATGCAATGTGTGTGCTAGGTCTTTGCCAATACTTAGAAGGAAAAGAAATGCACAAAATGTGGTGGGCGGGGGGCAGGCAAGAAGGGGCTTCTGTTATATCCATGTCCAGAAGTGAAATGTACAAAAGGGGACTTTCTGCTACACCCTCTTAGCAAGAAAAGGGAAGCTCAGCCATTCCTGTTGACTGCTTATTACATTGCAGCCTCCACACCATGCCATATGACTTCCTTAGCAAGTATATGAATAGGCCTGTTTTCAAACCCTCCATCTTGCCTGTCATGGCAAATCAGAGTGCAGAGACAAATGGGGACCAGAAATTAGATTACAACAGTAGAATTTATCACTGCAAAACCTGCAAACTCACTCAATGAGTGAGTTTAAAGCAGCCTTCAAAAAAGTATGTATAATGGCTGGTTTGTTATCACCAGGGTTGTTGTGCCCCTGTTGACTTCCTGAACAGCAGATAACCCTGCAATCAAAGGTGTGATTGCAGCTTCTGTCTACCTATCTGACTTTAGCTAGCTTGGATGCCAATAGCAGTAAAACCAAAGCAACAAAAAGTTCACCATGGCTGCAAAAACAAAGTTCTATAAATATTTTAGTAATTGGCCATACTGATTACTGTGCTGCTGTGACTACGGCTTCCAGTCCCCAAACTAGCATGAATATCCTGACAGGACATACAGTCATGCCTTGGACTGCAAGATAGCCATACTATCAAGATATGTGCAGATGTTACATTTAGGTCAACCTAATCAGAGTTAGATTGATCTAAATGCTGGTCTGTCCAGATGTTCAGGAAGGTTAAATCAGGCAAAAAATGGCCAACCTGATCTAAATTAGTTCACCTGAGAAAGTGAACTAAATTAGATTGGGAATAGGTTACCCTAATCTACTGATTGGAACACAGCCCTGGGCTGGGAAAGCCGAGCTGTTTGCCCCAGCCCCAGGGCTATGCTTTCCTATCCCCTCTACCCTGACCAAGTTAGCCCCCTGTCCCCACCATTCCTGGATGGACAAACTCCCTGTGGACCTACCACATCTTCCAATTCTGCCAACCCATTCAGACCCATCAATCCCACTGCAGACCTGCTAGACCTCTCAATCCTGCCTGCTCCTTTCCCCCACTCCAGTTTACATGGGTCAGGTTTCCAGCATGGTTCCCCCACTGGCAAACATGTACACAAGCTGCTCCTGATCTTCGATCATGTGGTTTAAAGTAAGATTGTAGATTGGTGCCGCAAACATCTGCACATACCTTCAGGGACGTTATATCTAGGAAAGTTTCCATTTTATATTATTCCTAAACTCTTCCACAGATCATGGGAGTGGGATGCCTTTTTTCATTTCAATTTCTGGTGACTGAATCCTATGTCTATTGTTGGAAGAGAAACAGGAGGAGATGATGCTTTAAGTCTGGAACTTTTATTTCCATGTACCTGGTGTCTCCTGTTGCAATTAATTTCAGATTAAGCCCGAACAGTAATTTGCACCAACCTCATTTTAATTCATACCAACCTCATTGTAATACCACCTTGTTGTAATTCCTCTAGTACCTAAACGCCACAACTCACCCTATAGCGCTTCCAGCCTATAGTGTTCACCCACAACTCACCCTATTAGTGCTTCTGTTTTCCATTTTTTGTTTCTATTGTCTTTTGAATCCTGCTTTTTCTTTCCACTGTCTATATGGATTGCACAGGCACTCCATTAATTTTGAAATTTGGCCTACAGTATCTCCCTCCAGAGATGGATTCCCCTATGCTAGCATTTGGGTCAAAATGAAAGATACCTTTAGAATTATACTATATATTTAGGGACATCCTGTTTAGTCAAGAAAGATTTATTAAAAAGAAGCATTCTTACAGAAAATAATAAACTAAAATGAATAATTCCCTTTGGATTTGCCTAAGCTATATCTAAAGGCAAGGTATACCAAAGAAATGGCAGAAATACCACACACTGGTGTCTTTTATTAATAGCTAAGTTTAGCTGCAGTGATTTTTCTCTCTTAAGCAAAAACCTTGTAGACAGTCTTCAGCTGGAACTCCCTCTTTTTTTCTGAACAAAGCTCAAATACACTTTTCCCCATCATCTTAGTTCCTTTCCTGACCAAACCAACTGTTTCGATTTTCCAGTCAAACCTGTTCCCACTTGGTATTTACGTTTTCTTTCATCTTGGGTACATAGGCAAGGAACATACTATGTATATCAGATTGTATACTGCAGTTGTCCAATTCTTTATCATATGCATATTTGCTTTTGCACTTCTTTCCCTTTGATATCAGATTAGTGAGACTACATTAATTATGCATTCCTCTAGTCTAGGAATGGTCATTGTCACTGTGTTCAGTAGCTGATTGCCCTGCCTTTCTACATTAAATAGAGATGTTAGTCCAAACTCTTCCACAGAGGACAATTGAAAAAATGTTCCCTGCAAGAATTCAGATAAGATGGTACTTTATACAGCCATGAGATGATTGTGTTACAGGACAAATCTCTCACAATGTTTCATACTTTTTTTTATCAAAGTCACTCTGTCTTTGACCTTTTAATTCTTCTTTCTTGAGCAGCCTTTGAAAATACTGGATAGCTTATTACTGTGCTGGCTGAATATGATTAACTGTAACCCAAATGGAATACCCAGTTGCACTCATGTACACTTTCTTTCACTTCACTACTGAAACGAGGCACCAGTGTACATGTTGTGGTGTTCTCTACTACACCATTATATTTAAGTATCTTAGCTTCCTTTGCACATTCTAGAAAAGAGGGAGGTGGAACCGTGGGGGAAGATATCTAGATGAAAATGTCAATGCAATACTCATTGAATTGGTGACAGATAAAAATTTTCAACAGCTTTACAACTGATTTTAATAAAAAACGTAATGGAGAATTTTCATTTTAAAGGCAGTATAAAGAGGATAGACTGACTGGAAGCCAATGGAGGGTATTAAAATAATACTGCCTTAGTATAAAAATAAGAAAGAAAGCTGGCACATTACTGGTTGAGGTAAAGTTAAACTTTCAGTATATTTTGATGAGTATTAAAAGAACAGAGAAAAATCAAAATAGAATTAGCTTCAGTGATGAAAATAGATATGATTTAGAATTAACCTAAAAATAAATATAAATTATAGTTCATATTAACCTGGATCAGTTAAAATATAAATTGGATCTTGGAAAACAGAGATGGGAAAAGGAATCAAATATTTGTGTGTGGGAACATATAATGAAGAAGAACATATAATGTATATATAATGTATACATTTAGCTCCTTGCCAGTAAGAATTTGGAAAGTATAGTTTTCAAAACGAATGTGATACTGTAAGGCAAGCAGAAAGGTAAACAAAACAAACCCTGAAACTATTACAAAGAAGTTATAGTTCCCTACAGAAAGGTTATAGATTTCCACGGTTTAAGGAATTTTTATCCTTCTTCATGTGACATTCACCCTTATATTAGAGAACAATTGGGAATAGAAAGATAACAAGATACATTCATATAGGGAAGGATGTCTTAGCCCTGTATCCTTTCAGCTATGATAAATGGCCAATCTACTTGCCTTTAAGTATCTTCAGCTTCTAACAAAGCATTGAAGAAAACCTGGATAACAGTGTTGAAGAAACTAGGCTTTGTTCTTTATTAGTGGGAAATCTGGTATTCAGAAGTAGGTTCAAGAGGGATTTTCTCATTGTAGCAGTTATATCTTCTTACAAAAAAAGTAGCACTGCAAAGAAGGAAAATTACTGGCAATATTTGCAGCCAAACTACATCCCCAGACAAGTTTGCAATATTAAAAATCAGAAGGTTTATTCTAAACAAAGACTTTGCTGGATATAAATGTAAGCCCTGCACAATATATAATTTACTGTTGACTGCTACCTAGTATTCTTTGGGATAAAATAATACATAATTCATAAAGCAAGGACCTGAATTTTGTGATTGATAAAGGAGGGAACAAAGTTAACAGAAATCTTAAATCATCTATGATGGACTTGAAATAATGGTTCCCCTTAGTAGAAAGTACTTTTTAGAACATGGTGGGCTTACATCTAAGATGCATGAAGCTCAGACTGATACACTCAATAGCAGGTGCCTAAATTATGGGACCTCTGACCAGTTTATACATGTTTTAGGCCAGAGATGCATAACTTTTGAGACAAAGAAGTGGGCCCAACTAATATGGGATTTAAAAGTGCTGATCCACAACAACCAAGTGCAATTAATAAAAGCAATAGGTTGTCCCCTCCCCAAGTTAACGTTAGGCCAGGTGGTTGTGAAATAAAACCCAGTGAAATGAAACCAAGAGACCACATTTATGTAGTTAAAGTTCCTTCTGAACCAAGAAGAGTTCTCTCTGAGAAAACAGAATTTCCCAGAACCAACTGAAGTCAGAGGGATTTGCTATGGATTCCAGTCAGACTGGGACCAGAATCCTACATAGCAAATACACACTTTGGTCTTGACACATTTGTAATGGGAGTGCTTAGTAACTGCTTGTGTGTGACACACAGGAGGTAAAGCATTCTACATTTCCATCAACCTCCACAAAAAACATACTTGTGACAGCCATCTAAAACGGAGAAGTCTTCAAAATAGAAGCTACTGAATGGCATCGTCAAGTCAGTCCTGAGGCCGCTGCGACCATTGGTGTTATAATAACCCTCCTCCACTCTACCCTGTTTGGCTGAGGTTACTTGAGTTGCTTTGCATCACTGGTGATTCTTCAGGCAGAGTGACCTGGCGGTGCCCATCTACTCTCCAGGTATGGAAGGCTGTTGGCTCTGCCGGAGCTCATCTGCCCCTGAATGACATAGCACTGTACAAATCCTTGTGAGCTTGGGCTCAGAAATACTAAACATTGACTCAATACTGCAAAAAATTTGTGTGTGTGTATGTGATTTTCTCATACTGAGTGCTTTTATACTAACATATCTTCCACAGGACTATGAAGGCAATGTTTTTTCTAGGGTTAAGTCTGCAACTCTGTTTCCACTATTATCCTTGGGAAGTCTACAAAAGAACATTAGCCTGAAAATAGCTGGCCAGGGAAAAATATTTTCACTACATTTCAACTATAGTTCTTAAAAAATCAATAGCATGAAATGGTCCTACATTAGGCCAAAACACCATTAGAGTCCTTCCAGGTGCCTTTGCCACTGTTTTTGAGATATGTTTCTCAATTTTTTCTGGGAGTCGTATGCTCCTCAAGATTGAGGACTAAAAACTATCGCTGCTCACAATATATTCTGTCTCCAATTCAGCTCACAAGACAGAATCTCCATCTTGTTATGTTGCCAAACTAGATTACAGTACAAAAATACTCCCACCTGAAAGGAGGACATAAGCTTTGCAAACTCCTAAAAGGAGAGTTCTGGGAATGGAGGAAATAATACATATCTCTTATACTGCTTTTTCATCCATGAAGCTCAAAGTGCTGTACAAAGGGGGTTAGTATTATCCTCCCTATGTTGTGGATGCATAGAGAAGTAAAATGACTTGCCCAGGACTACTTGACAGTCTAGTGGCAAAGCCAGGAACAGAATCAAGTCCTCTATTCAGTGTGATACACTGCCCTGTGACTATTTACTGCAGAAAATGACTGATGTCGTGTCAGGGAAATCATGTCCTTTTAAATCTGCATGAGCTAATTAAAGGGAAAAGAATATATGGAGGAGAGAGAAATCAGTAGGATCTTTTCTCAAGGGAAACCTGTTGCAAACTATGTACCCTGTCACTAGTCTAACATCAGACGTAAGATGTATAATCAAATAAATGGAGAGAAAACTACTCAGTATTAAATTATATAAGATAAACATATTCTATATTACTATATTTTTGAACTGCAAAAAGAGAAAAAGAAAGCTGTACAAAACAGCATGTTCATTTGCTAGTCTTCTGAACTTCATTCACTTCCTGAAAGGTGATTCCATTATACTGAAACATTGTTTTTGTTCTGTTCTTCTCCTTGGTAAAAGTCCAGGAGTTTAAGCCACTGTCGAAATATAGTATGACATGCATACCTCCGAGCTGCAAACCTTGTTCTAAACCTCCAAGCACTCCCACCTTCTCACCCATATCATATCTAAGTGTGCCCAGACATCCTCCACTAGCTCAGGAGGAGGTGGGGCATTTGAGAGATCCTCTATTGGGTCCTTTGAATCACATCCGCCACCCCCACTCTCTGATGCCATAAATTCGGGCAAAGGGGAAGCATTTGAGGGACTCCCTGAATCACATCCACCACCCTCACTCTCTGACTTCAGAGGCTCAGGAGGGGAAGCACTTGAGGGATTCTCTAATGGGTCCCCTGAATCACATTCACCACCCTTACTTTCCAACTCCAGTTTCAGGAGGGGCATGTGAATCACCATCACTAGGGGCTCACTTTTTGTTCTCAACAGACATTTAGCTTTTACAAGTCATTTTTAACCAGGCCCTGACTTTTTGTCTCACAAGCTACTTACTCCTGAGTTTACCACCAACTCTCCATTTAAAATCTGACCTTTTGCTCCAACAATAACCGTGATCTTCAAAACACTCTGAATACACTGTCTGCAATGTCTATATCTGCCCACACCCCCAAAGATCCCCCCTTTTTGTTGGCACAATAATCATGGTCTTTCAAATCATGCTGCACACTCTTTCTGTAATGTGTAAATCTGCCTGCACCGCCCAAAGATCCCCTCTTGTTGTTTTCACAATAATCATCTTTCAAAAACAGGTGAAAAATCTCCTTCTGAGACTTCTCTAAATTGTGTGTGCAACCAGTCCTGAGTTTCTTATTCACAGGCCCCAAAGCACCAGCTTTGAAACAGTGAATTCTTGTGTTTTACACATGGTTCTCTCAGGGTTTGGTGGTGTGTTTTCCTTTGAAGAACCATGTAGTCTTTTCTGTTTTTTCACCATGTCCTTCTGCTCTGTCTTTTTAGCATCCTGACCTTCAGGGTTCTGATCCTTAGGATGAGCATTTCTGTGGTTTTGAGTTAGTGCTGTTAGAGGGCTTTGATCTGGTTCCTGTCCCTCTGGCATTTCTAGGAACTGATTCTCTGAAGCATCTCTTCCTTCTTTGGAGGTATTGAGTGAGATCACTTAGGATATATAAAATTTACATGTCAGCATCAAGAATTCACTTTCCACAAAATGAAAGCTTAATTTCCTATAAATGCTACAAGTCTGAAAGAGACCCCATGCTTTAAAAAGCCCTTAGCAAAATTAAACCCCACAACCACGCACCCCAAAATACATGTTAGTAGACATGGAGGAGCACATGCTCAAAGCACACCCAGCATTTCAAAAGCTTGATTTTAGAAAATGAACACACAGAAACGCACGAACACACACTTTCAAAAGCTTGATTCTAAAAATGTACCTTTCACTACAGGGTAAAGGCATGGAGGTGCACGTTTGTTCTGATTTTCCTTTTTGGGAGAAGGGTTTCTGTTTGGGGACAAATGATTACAACCAATATTATGACTTAATGTAGTTATATTAACACAGTCACAGATAACCCATTTTAAATTAATTTTTACCTTTCTGTGGTAAAATTGCACATGGTAATTGTGGTTTTCCTGGCTAAACTTTTCCCTGGAGCAGGAATTTATCATTTTTGTCCCAATTAAGTGTTCAGAGTAGGGTACCAGAGGCTTATCCTCTTCATGGATCACTCCATATAAAGCAAAATTTGGGTCTTCAGCAAAATGAACAGCATTTATAATCGCTATGCCCTCATTTAAATGTTTCTCAGTGAGGTGCAGGCAATTCATATAATTCCCACAATAACAATATTTTAAACACTTTCCATATACAGCTCAGTATAAAGTTCCCAAATTGTCCCGTTTATATCCTTATGTCCAGTTCACAGACTCATGGCTTCCTTGCCCTGGTGCAGTTAGGAGACAGCCCATGTAGTCTTCCAAAAGTCTGTCTCTCAAGCAATATTTCAGTATGCTATAATATCTCAAGCAATATTTCAGTCTGCTATAACAACAAACACACATAGGAGCTTTCATGAGGCTTTTAAGTACTTGACTCAAAACAGGACCTGTTCATTCTATTCCTTGCTGTCTTCTAAAAGCCAAAGAATCATTAGCTTCTCCTGAAACACTGGGCCTCTGTTCATCACAAAAACAGTTTCTCTTTTCCGATACCAGGGTTACAGGTCTGCTGATGTGCTCTTTTTCTGGTGTCATTAGAAAGGCTTAATCTAGCTGCAGAACAATTTCAAAGGAAAAACTCTAGTTAGCCACTGTTTAACAAGTTCATACGTAATTCTTACTCCAGCAGGATCCCCCACAAAACCCCCACCACCAATTCCCCTAAGAGCCCCACATCCATATTTCAAACCACTCATCGGTGCCTCTGCTCCCTTGTAGATGTCTTCTTCCCACACAGGGTCCAGCACAAGGCAGCCTCTTCTCTAGAATACTCAGTGTCTGCTTTGGGGGTCTGGGCATCAGGCTCACAAGCCTGCTGCATGCTTGCATGGGCCTTCTGCCCTGGTCCAGGCATCTTGGGCAACCCTTGGGCTAGGGCAGGCGTTGTCAACCAGGGGTATGTGTACCCCTGGGGGTACTTGAGAAGGCCCTAGGGGGTATGCTTGGGCAGGTGGGGACAAAGCACTGCTATGCACCATCCCGCACTGCCATGCAGGCACCGCCTGCTTGGCTGGACACAGGACGGACAGGGGAAGCTTGCACACAGTGGCTGCTGCTGCTCTGTGTTCAGCCACACACCCCCCACCTCCACTCCACATCCAACATGGCCCCGCATATGCCAGGGCCGGGCCAGCCAGGGGCTGCTGGCACAGCACATCATGGGCCCCTCACAGGCTGCATGTGCCCTACATGTCCAGGCGAGTGATGGGTGTGCAAACAGCCAGGGGCCACAAGCAGCAGCTGCTTACGTTAGGAGGGAAGGGGAGAGGAGGAGGCACAGGGCCAAGGGAGGGGCCCAGCCCTTGTTCCACGAGCTTGCCTCACTCGTTCCTCCCAGGGAGTGGTGCCAGGAGAAATCCAACCCAAGCATCTCACTGGAATGTCCCACCCAGAGCCTGGCAGGTCCTGGCCTTCGTGTCCACTTTGCTTTGGCAGGGAAAGTCCCTGGAAAAGAAGGAACCCTGAGTTGGGGAATCCCATGCAAGATTTGTTTGGATTCCCTGCTCCGCTTCAGACTTTACATAGGACACCAGAGTAATCAAGTGCCTAAATATCTTTGGGAGTCCAGCTTAAACCTCAGTACTCTCTGCATGTGAGTGTGGAGGCAAAACGCAGGGCAACGTGACACCTTAAAGTCTAACACAGTGGTTCTTAACCTTTTATGGTTGGAGGCAACCCCTAAGAAATGCCAGCTCTTAGTTTTCTTATTCTTTTTTTTTTTGACTACAGGAAAAGTCTAGAGCAATTCTTGTGCTGCAAGAAACTCAGAAAGGCCACAGCAGGTCAAAATGCCTTTAAGGCTATGGATTCTTCTTTGCAATCTCTGGCCTTATCATCCTTTGACAAAGCCCCCAGGGGTAGAAGGAACCTCAAGGCATCATCTAGTCCAGCGGTTCCCAAACTCTGACAGATTGCGCACCACTGATTTAAAATCATACAACCTGAGGTACCACCAGCACATTTTTGTCATATCAATTATAGTAAACGTTAACCTGTACCACTGACCCGATGTCTGCCTACCGAGAGTGGTAGGCAAACCACTAATCTAGTCCAACCCCCTGCTCAAAGCAGGACCAGCTGCAGCTCTATCATCCCAGCCAAGGCTTTGAGCAGGGGGTTGGACTAGATTAGTGTTTCTCAACCTGTGGTATGCATACCCCTAGGGGTACACAAGACATAGGCGGGGGTACGTGGGTGCTGCATTTCGAGTTTGACCTGCCCCCCGCCCGGCAGGTTGGAGGTGTCTTTGCCTGTTCAGGCTGGAAGCTCGAGGTGCCGCCCCTCCCGCCGCGTCCAGTGCGCGGGGCTTTCACTCCTCAGCGCCCGCGTGCCGGGGGACAGGGAGGGAGGCCCCGCACAGGCTGCTTTGCTGTGGTCAGCGAGGAAAAAGTGCTGCTCATGGCAGCAAAACCGGAAGTGCCACGGTGGGACTTCTGGTTTCGCTTTTGCCGCATTGACTGGCAGGGGGTACATGAGGTACCAAAGGTTGAGAACCACTGGACTAGATGACCCCCCGAGGAACAGTCCTAATCCTGGCGGTGGCCTGGAGAGGGTCTCAGGTCCCAGGGTCGGAATCACTGGCGTGACTGGGTGGGAGAGGAGGAAGTGGGGGTGGCCCACGCTGGGGACAGAGGTGCTGTGAGGGGGGCCAACAGCAGTGAGGGAACTGGAGGCTGAGGTGGCTGACGGGCGGGAAACGCCAGCAGTGGCAGTGGGCGTTGAGGTGCCGCCCAGGGGACTCCCCGATGGCTTGCGGTGATGGGGGGCGGTCCCGGAGCACCCGCCGCAGGCCACGTTGACAGGGCAGCGGCGGGCGGGGCCGGGCCGAGGCGGAGCCGGGCCGGGGCGCTGCAGCCGTGGCGGCGGGGGTGGCTTTGCACAGCAGACATGTCTTCGCCTCCCAAAGAGAAAGCTGAGACGCGCGCTGGACACCCGCCCGCCGGTACCTGCCTCCGCTCCCCCGGCTGCGGGGCGCTCGCGGGGGGAGGTGCTCTCGCCTGCGTGCACGCGTGTGCCTGCATGGCTGCTTTGTTCCCGGCCGCTTGGCGCCGGCTGCCCGCACTTTGCTTCTTGCGAGATCGGGGGTGGGGATGGCGGGATCCCGAGCTCTGGTCCCGCGATCCTGGGTTGGGGCCTGCTGGCAGCCGGGTCCGGGGATGCAGGCAGCGGTGGATCTGCCGGTTTCGCCCCCTCCGCTTTGATTTTTCTTCTTCGGCCAAGTTTTGCCGCGACCGCGGAAGAAGTTTGCAGGTCGGGGCCGCGGGGCGGGAGCGGGAGGCGCGCACATGCTGCGGAGAGGCCGCCCCTGGTGCCACGCGGCGCGGACGTGGCGGCTGGCCGGGGCCCGTCGCCTCACCTCGCTCTTACGACCTCTGCGGGGCCGCTTTCTGTGTTCCAGGCCCTGCCTTCTCTTCTGCTTTCCCCGTTAAGTGCTGACTCGCATGAACTTTCTCTTTGCTGGGGGAAGAGGATAAAGGGCCTTCGGAGAGCCCCACTGCCTTCCCTTCCCGGAGAACAGACTGCCCCTCACTTCTTCCTTTACACACTCCCCAGCCTGGCCCCAGCACATCCCAGGACCTTTTGGTCAACCTCTTCCTGGCCCTGGCCAAGCGGGTCTGTCTCTGACCAGAAAGGAGGATCCCGGGACTGTGGGGCTGCATTCCCTGCCCGACTTTGTTTCCATCTCGGGCCAGAGTATCACTTAGAAGTGTCCTCTGGCTCCCTGGACTCACTTGAGGGCCGGTGAGTTCTGTCATGTGTGCTCAGGTGGGTGCCACCTGTTGGCACTCTTGTTAGGAACCTTTGATCTCCACTCCTGCCCCTGTTTTCATTATTATTTGTGCCAAGTAACCAGTAACACATCACTAGTGGCCCCCAGTACTAAAAGGGAGCTTACAGTTCACCTGTGATCCCATTGCCAGACAGAGTATCACTGAGCAGTGTCCGTTGGCTCGTTACACTCATTTAAGGGCCAGTGGGCACTATCCAGTGTGCTCTGCTTGGTTGGCATCCTTGTTATGAACCTCTGACAGGCACTCCCATCTCTGTTTTTTTTATTATTTGTCATCAGTAATCACTTGTCATCTTTTTTGTAACCTCCCCACCTGAGGGAGACCAACAGGTTACTTGGTGGGCCCAGGGCCATGCCCCTCAAAGTGACAAATAGGCCTGAAGGAGAGACACCAGGTCTGTTGTTTTCTTTCTTGCCATTGCGTTTGCCTTCAGGTTCTTCTTTGCACCCTTGCAAAGTTCCTGTCAGCATGTTATGAGGAGCCAGTCCTTTGCTGAGGTATAAAGTTGCTCAGGGGTGAGATATAAGGCCTAGCTTTTGTAACTTCTGTGAGTTTTTGACACGGGAGGGGAAAGAAAACAAGGGCCCTTTGCTGCTTGGCCACCTGACTTTTCTATGTTTGTCTGCACAGTGTTGCTTTTAGGGTAAACAGAAAAAGTTATACTCTTAGGAGCACCTCTGAGCACCTGCATATGTATCTGGGGGCTTCCTATAAGAAGACTGCATCCAGGCATCATCCAGACCCTGTTCAGTGCAGTGGGATTCTTCCTGGCTTGCCCCGACACCCTTTTTGCTGTCTTTGCTGATCTTTACATAAGGTCTGAGAAAGGGGTGCTTGTGGACAGGCTTGAGCAACCTTTATCATGCCTCCCTCCTTCATTCATAACAGGAAAGTGTTTTCAAGGCTCTGCAGTTAAGGAGCATTCGCAATTCTGCATTCTAAATGAAGTGTCATATTTTTTAGACTTACAGTTACAGTATTGTTGCACTGTAAATTTTGATTCAGGAGCAACCTGCAAAGAATTTTAAAATAAAATGTTGGTTTGTGCCCTACTTGCAGGCAGCATTGTTGTATAAAGAGGACCTGGGAGAAATTTTGTAAAAAGATTAAGTACATAAGTATAATCGTAGCATTAGAAATTCATATCCTGCCTTGCATGGAAACATGGCTGGGGAATAAGCTAAATTAACATCTCACAGGAACAAAGAGAATGAAAGTTGAACAATGTAAGAAATTTTCAGTCTTTAAGCAGCATATTTCTAGCATTTAGAGCCAAGGTATTAAAACCAGAGGAAGACTATTTTAATAATTAAGTTTTAAAATCAGGGGTCCAACTCTTCTGGCTACATGGGGTCAGACCTGGTGCTGCACGCAGCACAGGTAGTTCAGGCATGGGCTGCATGTTGTGACCCACCAGCCTGTCCCTGGCCCCGTGCTGCCCAGGTGTGTCAGAAGCAGTGTGCAGTGCCAGTCTGGCCCAGCACTGCATGCCATGCACACTGTGGACCCCTTGTACTGTGTGCAGGATCAAGTCCAGCTTTTGTGGCACATGCAGCACAAGCTCCATGCTAGCCCTGTGTGCCATGCATACAGTGAGCCCTACGGCTGGTGCATGCTGAATGCAGCAAAGGGGCCAGCATGGTGTGTGTGCTGCATGCAGGACTGGAGTTGATGTGGTATGCGGGGTCTGTCCAGAGACCTGTGGGTTGGATCATACATCTCGATTGGCCAGATCTGGTCCTGTGTTTGAAAAACCTCTTTTAAAGTCTATATTTGGGTTCAGAAATTCAAAAGTTTTGATTGAGGCTCCAAAAATCCCACTCCTGGTACAGTCAGGAGTGCAAATATGTTTTCAATCATTTGTCTGGCATTAAATATCTTTTGCTGTAATACCTGTAAATATGAGTGACGACTTAATTTCTCTTTACCCTCTGTAAATCTACTAAACAGATACACCACATACCAGTAGAGCAAAGTGAAAGCTTCTCTTCATGCTGACAGGTTGCTTTAAACAGTTCTTGTGGTGATGAGTTTTCAGATTTAGACATCCCTGAGACTAACCATTAGGGACTTGTTAATATGTGGACATTAGGTCTGTGCAAATAGGGAAGTATTAGATTTGGATTCAGCTTCAGAAGATTTGGCGGTGATTTTGATCAGCCAGGGAGAGGCAGGCACAGCCGGGCGGCTACAGGTTCTCCCACAGCACATCAGGCTGTGCCTGCCTCCCCCCAGGTGGGGGGAGTCATGGGAGAAGCCCGTATGGTTGCTCTGCCCAGTCCTATCCCATGCCTGTTCCCAGCACTTTTTTTTTTTTTAAAGCCCCGCACTCATGGCTGCAGCAGCTTCAACTGGGGCCTCTGGGCACTTGTGCCAGAGCCTCCCCCTCCATGCAGCACAGGGAAAGTGAGGAGCAGTGGGGATCACGCCCCGCAACCTGGCACACATGCAGCATGGTGTGGGTGCAGTGCAGCTCCACAGGGCATCATGCTCTGTCAAGGGCTCAGCAGTGCTGGGCTCTGGCTGACACATGGAGCCACTCCAGCTTCCAGGGGAATCAAATGGGACTGGGGAATTGAACTGGGGGCAGGGGAATCGAACGTGGAGCTGGAGAATCGAACTGGTATAACCCCAACTCCCAGTGCTGCCATGCTCACATCCTGCCCCACCCCAGCTGGGCAGCTGGGCAGCTTGTCCCAGCCCCAATCCTTCCTCCTCCTGCCCCCCTCCAATCCCAGCAGATTTACCAGCTGCATGTTTAGTCTATGGCCAAGTCTCTGAATCAGACAGATCTTTTCCCAGAGCTTTTCCGAATCGATTCAGATGCTTGGAATCGATTTGGAGCTTTTACTCCCAATTTGATTCTGATTTGGAGATTCCGTCCCCAAATCGGGCCAAATCTCCTCCGAATCGAATCAGCTACCAAAGCTTCGTGCAGCCCTAGTAGACATATATATACCAGGGCTGGCCATTTGGTAGCCCACAAGGGGTTACCATGCGGCCTGTGGCCTCTGGCCACAGGTCTTCTCATTGCTTCTGCTGCTATAGCAGCCAGGGGCTCTGGGTTTCTCCTCTCTCTTCTGACTCCTGCTTCCCTGGGGACAGTCTGGCACTTTTGGAATGGGCCCAGGAAGGGGTCTGTGATGCCCATGCTGCCTGCACAGTTGGCGTGCAGCCTCAGGGTCTGCAGCCTGTGGGGGTGCAGCCTTCACACTGCCCAGAAGTTGGACAGCCCTGTGCTAGACTTCGGGATGAGACTACCAGATCATTCCATCCAAGCTTGTCTGGTAATAAACTTTCAATTGCTGCTGAGAAGGCATGTTTCTGAACCCTTGACAGAGGCAAAATGTATTTTTTAACAAGAAGAACCACATAAATCTAGTGGAAAGAACTTAGATGGACAACAGTGTGGCTGAGACCAGGATTTTATTCCTTGTATCCTGAGCCATCTAGTATTTTTAATGAAAGAAGAGAAAACAGAGCAAATCATAAGACCATTTATAAACCCATGTTAATAAAATAGAGTGGCAGTTTTAACTAGACTATACAAATAAATGGAATATGGGTCTTAAATTCCTAGGTGAGTTACTAATACCACAAAGTTGCCACTGCAGTGACGTATGTAGAGGGGTCTCATTTTTTTACACACGGCTGAAAAACCAGTTTTGCTGCATATACTGATAAAAAGAAACATAATGTCTTTTGGTAGTTTCAGAAATACATTAGATTGAAAAAGTTTGCCATTATTGACTCTGAGCTGAAACCTGTCTGTACTTCTATTTAGAGGTCTTCTTAAATCACAGTTAGGCTTCCAATTTTGGGTTTGGTGTGGCATAAAGAACAAATTCTACAGATATTTTGTGGATGTTCTCTGGTAGTCCTACCCCTTGGTACTGATTGGTAGACAGGCCTGGGAAGGGGGGAAGAAGGACAAGGGGGTGGTAGCCATTTTTTCTGCTGCCCTTCATGCTGCCCTGCCAGGCAATGCCTTCCTCTCCCGGGGGGCTGCAAGGCTGAGCCACAGCAGAAGCCATGACTACTGATTTCCACTGAAGAGGCAGCATTTTATTTGTATTAAGGTTATTTTTTTGTTCATTTTTCAGACAATTCTGGATTTCACAATTTCTGCAAAACCACAATATACGTAGATGCCTGCTTACAGTCATGTACAGTGCTTTTGACAAAAAGGTGATGGTCTTATTGAAGGCAGGGCTTCAACCATAAAAGATAGTATCAGACTAGGCCTCTCATGTACTTTGCTGTTGGGTGTAGTTTCACCAGTCACATGCATTTAGCTTCCTCTGTTTACGTAAACCCTCGATTCTCAAACAAGGTGCTATGGTATTCTGGAGTTCCTTGAGATATATTCAAGGGTGCTGTTAGGTGTCACACAGCATTAGCATTGTTAGGTGCGCAATTTACAAGGTAAATTCAGAGATTTCAAATAAGAATCCATA